GGAATTCCGTGCTGTCCTCAACAGTAAGAGAAGGTTTCATCACCTCTAATTGCCAGGACACTGTCCCTGCCACACAGCAAGCTCTGCTTGGCTCCCTAAAGCTTTGACACATCTCCTTCTGCAGCCTGGCACAGTGGCTGCAGAGCCTGCCTGCACAACGAGCCTTTATTCTGCATACAGTCCTGGAATGGTTTGGGAAACGACCTCAGAGCCCACCCAGTGCCACCCTGCCATGGCAGGGACACCTCCCACTGCCCCAGGGTGCCCCAAGCCCTGTCCAGCCTGGCCTGGGCACTGCCAGGGATCCAGGGACAGCCACAGCTGTGCCAGGGCCTGCTCACCCTGCCAGCCCAGAACAAGAAGAGTTTCTCAGCAGAGATGAAACAATGGCACTGACTGACAGCCTCCACGGCTGAACACAGGCCTCAGACTTACTTGATATTATGTATTTTTCTTGCAACGATCATTGGAAAATCCACTTCAAAATATTTCTTAGGGAGAAGATTTTCATCCTGGGAATTGCAGGAAGACACTAGAATTAGGGACACTCGAGTTTCACATGCACAGGACAAGACAGAACCTCAAATCCTGAACAGTTCTGGTTTGGCTTACACTGCCATTTGTAACAGTGTCCCACAGCTCAAACCCCCTAAATTCCAACAAAAACCAGCTGAGAGATGTTAGAATGCCCTCTAAGAGCTAAAGAAATTATTTATCACTGGTGTGGTAAATAAAGCAAAGCTGGGGTGGGAAGGGACCTCTGGAGCTCATCCAGTCCAAGCCCTGCCCAGGCAGGGTCACCCAGAGCAGGTGACAGGAACGTGTCCAGGTGGGGCTGGGATGGCTGCTGGCAGGAGCAGGACTCTAACCCCAGACACACGTCACTGAAACACACCCTGCAGCCGTGTGTCTGGGCATGTGGGGGAGCACAGCACGGCAAACTGCCACAGCATGCAGCAGGATTTTCAGCACAGCCTCCCAGGGAAGAAGCAGGAAGGTTTTGTCCAGGCTGAGCCAGGCAGTGAGCACAGTGCAGCTCTCCCCCAGCCCACAGGCAGAGCACAAGCACCCCAGCCTACAAAAGAGGGGAAAGCTCTTCATTCCGTGCTGGCAGGATTTCCCAGCCTGGTGGAGAAGCCGTGCCAGTCTCTCCCTTTGTGATGGATGTTGCTGCCCATGGCTTTCTGAGATGAAACCAGCACCCAACAGTCCAGTAACTGCCCCCAGCTCTGCACATTCACTGCACCACACCTGCTCTCTGCAAGGACAAAGAACTGCAATTACAGGCCCCACTTCAGCTCTTAAAATCACTGTTACCAAAACAGTACATTGGCAGAGCTTTTATAGGAATGCAGGTAAGAGAAAAGCTTCACATCTCAGGAAAAAAAAAAAAAAAAAAGTGGAAAGATAAAAAGATCAAATACTGGATGATGTCAATTTACCTATTTTATGTAGAGCACCACATACTAGAAAATCATTCCAGATTATGCAGTTTCATTATAATTTTACCTCAACAGTTTTCTCATCAAATGTATGTCCCCTGGTCAACACAAAAAAAAATTGTCTTCTCTCCCTAATTTCTAGCTCATTCTTGGAATCAGAAGTTCAGCTGCTTCCCTTCTGCCTCCTCCAATTATTAAGATTCCCCATCATTCTGGCAGAAGCCTCCCCACAGCCTCTCCAGCACTGCTACAGCAGCTTCATTTGCATTTCAGTTTACTCAAAAACACATGCTCCATACGTAAGGCTAGGAGAGTCAGATCCTCTATGACTGAAAACATGAAAGTGTATGTCATTTTTCTTGATCTTGATATCCAGCTGCTACTCCTTTGGCTGGATTGTGATCAGTGTCTGATACTGCAAACAGCTCTACATTACAGTATAAACAAAGAACAAGTGGCATTTCACATGTAACATGTCTCACAAATATGACTCTCACTGTTGGTCTCAAAGGAGACAAGTATTACTGCATCCTATTTCAGGCACTGCAGGAAGAAAGTCTATACATGCAGATTTGCCAAAATTTCTCATTTGCCAGAATAAGGAAACAGGTTTCTGGAAGAGATTGTCTCAGGGTGCCATGCCCAGGGGACATACAGTAATATAAATACAGTTTATTGTGTTCACTCGTCCCTGGAGAGCTGCAGGGTCCAGTCCTGATCCCCAAGAAAGACAGGGAGCTGCTGGAGAGGGTCCAGCAGAGGCCACAGAGCTGATTTGGGGTCTGGAGCATCTCTGTGATGAGGAGAGACTGCAGGAGCTGGGCCTGGTCAGTCTGGAGAAGGGAAGGCTGTGAGGGGATCCATCAATCCATACCAATCCCTCCCAGGGGTGTCAGAGGATGGTGTCAGACTCTGTTCAATGACAGGATGAGGAGCAATGGCCACAAACTAAAACACAACAAGTTCCACCTGACAGGAGGAAGAATCTCTTTCCGTGACAGGGGAAAGAGCAGAGCCCTGACATGGCAGAGCCTGGAACAGCTGCCCAGGGAGGGCGTGGAGTCTCCCTCAGGAGCCATCCCAAACCCACCCGGACACGGTCCGGTGTCACCTGCTCCAGGTGACCCTGCCCTGGATGAGCTCCAGAGGTGCCAGCTGTGGTGGGGCTGTGTGGGATCTCCTGCAGTGCTGCCCTGGGGGACAGAGCCAGGCTGCAGAGCCCAGAGCAGCCCCTCAGGGGTCCCCAGCCCCCTGTGGCAGCCAGGCCTGGCCCTGTTCCCCTCGTTACCTTCAGCCTCCAGAACAGGGTGTCCATGCCAGCCCCGAGGTTGACAATCTGACAGTTGCATTCTGTCTTCTCCAGGAAAGCCTTGATGAGGTGACTGACCCCGTGCACACGAGCATAGTAACCTGCAGCACACACAGACCTGGCCAGTCACTACTGCACACAACTCTCCACGTTTAACACCCGTGAAGGGCCCTAGGCAGTCTGCAGGAACAATAATGCCTCTTTTTGAGATACCTGAGGGCTTCTATTTTTCTTTTTTAATTACAAACAAAACCCCATGCACTGATAAAACTCAGCCCCTTGGGCAAATAGAAGTTTTAGTCAAGTTTCACCTCAAGCAGAAAAGAATAATTCTACACACACAGAGACCCAGCTGTCCTGGATCAAACCAACATTTGTGACTGCTTTGAGGAGATCTCTGCACTGGGACACACAGAGACAGTGCATTCAGAACTCAGAAAGCAAAGGAAGAGACTCACAGATTGGTATTTAAAGTATCAGACACAGCATGGATGGAATTTCTGCTGTGAAGAAACCTTGTCTCACTCTCTGGGATATTCCCTGTCTCCCAACTCCCAGGGTGCAGAGGTTTTGTCAGGACAGGTGAGGTGCCCCCATCCCCGCTCCAACTTGCCTCTGTTGATCTCAGGTGCCTTCCTCTCTTTGGCTTGTCTCACAAAATACTGGATGTAAGGGTCCTTCCAGTAGCCAACACTCACAGCAAACCTGTGCAGCAGCAGGGAAAAGAGAGAATTATGAAATAAGGTCCCCAAAAGTTACCCTGAAAGATACACAGGCTGGAAAGGTCCCTCTGCCCTGGGTGTGCACATGCAGACATGGTTTAAAAATCTGTTCCACGTGTGGAACTACTTGAATTAAGAGATTATATATACAGTTTAGTTGGAAACTTTAGCTGTCACCATAGTCAACAAGCATCCTTTTAATGGCCTCTTCACTACTGGATGAAGTTTTGTGAGCAAAGGCCCAAATCTCAAATATTCCCTCCTGGGGGACCGAGGAGATGAGCTGTCTGTCTCCAGCTCCTCAGGCACACAAACGAGCCTGTACTTCTACCCCCTGTTACAAGACAAGGTGTTTGCACTGATTGCAGAGCTCCAACACACCCCTTCAGCGCAGTGCTACTCTGCTTTAACAGAGCTTACGGCTTTCACAGCCGATTCCCAAGGAAAACCCTCCAGCCAACAAACGATCTGCCGCGACAAGCCCAACAGCACAGCCCGAGCAAGCAGCGGTGGCAGAGCTTCAACCCACAGCCAGGCAATGACCCTGGTGCCCTGCCAGCGCCCATCCCGGCGGGACAAGCACGGACACGGAAAACCCCAGGCGGGTTCTTGCCTCAGGGATCAACCGGGCCGGCCCAGGAACGAGCCCCGGGCGGGGCTGGCGGCAGCGGGGGCAGCTCCGGGGGCACCGCGGCTCCCTGCCGCCCGGAGCACCCGCTCCTCCCCGGGGTTCACCCGCGCACACGCCGGGACCAGCTCCGAGCTGAGCCGGGCCGGGCCGGGCCGGGCCCTGCGGGATGCACGCACAGAGCCCCGGCACCGCGGCAGGCCGGGGCCGCTCCAGCGCCGCTCCCGAGCCTCGCCCGCCCCCCACCCAGCCGCGCCGCGGGGAACAACGGCGGGCACCGCCCGGCCCGGCCGCTGGCCCGGCTCCGGTACCGTTTGCAGACGGACGCGTCCTCGCAGGTGCCCCGCACCGCCTCGTCCGCCTCGTCGGGGCCGGCGGCGGCCGCCATGGAGCGCGCGGGGCCCGGCCGCTGCCGCCGCCCCTGCGGCCCGCCCCCCGCCGCCGCTCATTGGGCAGCCCCCGCCGCAACTCGGCGGCCATTGGTCCGTGCGCTCATGGCTATGCACAGCGCCCAATGGGAGCGCCCGGGATGCAGCGCCTCGCCCGGGAAGTGGTGGCGGCAGTGCAAAGCGAACCGGGAGTTGTAGTCCGGGAGCCGCTCGGCGGTAACAGCGCGGATGCGGGGTTGCGGGTGCCCAGGACCGGGCGACCCCGCCCGGGGACTCGGTCCGGCTGCCCCTCGTGAAGCAGTAGCACCCGGTGCCAGCGAGCGAGCGGCGCAGGAAGAGCCGTGCCGCTGAGCCGCAGCACCATCCGGGCTGCGGGCGGGACATCCGGGCCGGGGGCGCCGATCACGTGCGGTGCGGGCGGAGGGCAGGGCCGGAAGCGGCGGGGCCGGGCCGGGGCCGGGGCCGGGCCGGGCCGGGCGGGCGGAGC